GATTTATATACTTATTCTATGCGTTACTTTAGCTTAGTGGCAGAGCGTCTGCTTTGTAAGCAGAAGGTCGTCAGTTCGATCCTGGCAAGTGGCTTATAACACCATAAATATCTGGTCTGGTACGAGAAGCAGGAGCAAGGTGGCCCATTCTGTGAAGGGGACACGAAAATTATTGATTCATATGATTAGTCTGTATGTCACTTTAGCTTAGTGGTAGAGCGTCTGCTTCGTAAGCAGAAGGTCGTCAGTTCAATCCTGGCAAGTGGCTTACAGCTGCATTATGCTCTAGTCGGGTATGAGAAGCAGGAGCAGGTCTGCTCACTCCGCAAAGGATACAGAAAGATTATTGATTTATGTACTTATTATCTGCGTCACTTTAGCTTAGTGGCAGAGCGTCGGCTCTGTGAGCAGAAGGTCGTCAGTCCAATCCTGACAAGTGGCTTATAGCACCATAAATTTCTGGTCTGGTACGAGAAGCAGGAGCAGGATGGCCCATTCTGTGAAGGGGACAGGAAAATTATTGATTCATATAGTTAGTGTGTGTGTCACTTTAGCTTAGTGGTAGAGCGTCTGCTTCGTAAGCTGAAGGTCGTCAGTTCAATCCTGGCAAGTGGCTTACAGCAGCATTAGGCTCTAGTCGGGTATGACGAGCAGGAGCAGGTTTGCTCACTCCGCAAAGGATACAGGAAGATTATTGATTTATGCTGTTATCTTGTGCGCCACTTTAGCTTAGTGGCAGAGCGTCTGCTTTGTAAGCAGAAGGTCGTCAGTTCGATCCTGGCAAGTGGCTTATAACACCATAAATATCTGGTCTGGTACGAGAAGCAGGAGCAGGTTTGCTCACTCCGCAAAGGATACAGGAAGATTATTGATTTATGTAGTCACTCTATGTGCCACTTTAGCTTAGTGGCAGAGCGTCTACTTTGTAAGCAGAAGGTCGTCAGTTCAATCCTGGCAAGTGGCTGATAGCACCATAAATCTCTGATCTGATACGGGAAGCAGGAGCATGTCAGCTCACTCCGCAAAGGATACAGAAAGATTATCGATTTATGTTCTTATTCTGTGCGTCACTTTAGCTTAGTGGCAGAGCGTCTGCTTTGTAAGCAGAAGGTCGTCAGTTCAATCCTGGCAAGTGACTTATAGCACCATAAATTTCTGGTCTGGTACGAGAACCAGGAGCAGGATGGCCCATTCTGTGAACGGGACAGGAAAATTATCGATTCATATACTTAATCTGTGCGCCACTTTAGCTTAGTGGTAGAGCGTCTGCTTTGTAAGCAGAAGGTCGTCAGTTCAATCCTGGCAAGTGCCTTACAGCAGCATTAGGCTCTAGTCGGGTGTGAGGAGCAGGAGTGAAGGTCTCCCAAGAGAGCAAGTTCACGGATAGCCGAAAGACAGATGACGGAATTTCAAGAGAAAAGCAAGACGTCAAGTCGTTGCTAAAGCAGTGATTCAGTCTGATCACCTTCGGACCACACACCCAAGTACAGAGAAAGTTCCCCCAGAGTGCTTGAGACTTCCTGTTGGAAACCCTCAAGCACTCTTAGTTAGGCATCAGACGAGCTATCTTGGGTGTGACGGTGTTTATATATTTTTTTGCCTCTTTCTTTTTTCCTTTCAGTCTTCTTGGTTCTTTCCTTTCATCCCTTTGCTTCTTTTCTTCAGGTTCATCGAATATCGTGTATGAAGTGGCAGGTTTAAGACTAATTTTTCCATCATTGTGCGGTTTCACTTAATATGTTGTGTTTTAAGCACTGACTGGGACTTGGTAGGGAACCAACGTGGCCCAGTCATGTGTCGCCCTGAAGTGGCAGGTCAAATATAGGCTGGGCTCGCTATCCCTACAGCACTGACCTATGGCGTAGGGTTCGAACCATTGAGACATCAACGAATTGTTGATAACAATATCACATGGTCGACACCATGATTGAGTCACTCCCTCAGTGGCCGGATGGTGGGGTAAAGAACGACAAGCGGAAGCTGTCGTGACTCTCGAGGTGGTCTCGAGTAGTAGCCCTGCCGGGATCATCCCGGCGGGATGTTAGTCTCATCATGAGACCTGGGTTCTGTGCGTCTCTGTCTCGGGGTTAGACCAAGCTGATACCCAGAGTTGATCGGGCTAGAGTGGCTCTACGAGTTTAGGACGGCCGCCTCGCGTGGCTGACCACTCGTCGACTTGCCTCCGTGTCCGCTCAATCTCTCGTTGCCCTAGAGACAGTGACTGCGACACTGTGTTCTCCACCGAGGCTCGGTGCCCGAGCTGAGGACCTTAGCTTAGCGTGCCAGGCTAGGCAGAAACTCCGCCACAGAATTCAGCTAGACGAGTATTGGGTCATGCTACGATTTATGTGAGCTGGTCGCAGATTGTTTTATATGTCTACCACGTCCAGCACGCCCGACCTCTTCCGCGAAGTTTTCCCCGACTTGGCTGAGAAAGCGTCGACTGTTTGTGTCGACATGGGTATTAGTACTGTGGGTGTGCTCGAGGCGGCCCTGGAGGACAAGGAGCTGACCGACGAATTATTGAGAAGGTGTGCATATGGGGGACTCGACGGAGAGTCCGAAACAACCACTATGACGGAGGTAGCCGATGCGAAGTCTGCCAGCTCATCCACCAAAAGTCCCGGTACTGCCAGCGAAGTCGTCGGTTCCAACAAAAACTATGGTGGTGGTGGTGGTGTCGTCGTGGTCGAGA